TTGAAGAAGCCTAGAGAAAGCTATATCAGCTAATGAATCATAATCATCACGAATTCAATCCCTGATATATTGGGTTTCCAATATAAAAATTTAGGGCCCAATTTTTTTTTAGCATTATAGAGGTACCATTTTTCAAACAGGGGGGTCTGAATAATTTTGGAAAAATTAGCATTATAGAGGTACCCTTTACTAATCGTGATTCAACATTAGTATATTGTATATACTATATTGTATAGTTTTTTATTGTTGATCAAGGAGTTGATGAACAATGATGAATCCGCCAACCAAGCAACCCAAGATATGTTGATTGTTGATCATCGCCTCACTGAGCTTTTCTCCGCGGAAAAGCTTGATCTCTTTGGAATGCCTTCGCTGATTGTTTTTCAAATACCTAAGGTCTTCATCAGGCAATGGCCTTTTCCCAGAATAGGTAAACACTTCTCCCCAGGAGCAGATTCTGTCATGAGCGGAAGATGGACGAAGCAAGCTTGACTAACTTTAATATGCATATGGCATATATACAACGAGTGTTTGGTTTCTCCATTTGTATTGAGTAACCTGGTTGCCTGGGCTTCTACTGAAGCGAGAATAGCCTCAAAGGGCAGACAAACGCCAAGCTCCAAAACCTGGTTGTCCGGTGCTTCGCCACTCGTCATCAGCATCCGGCAGGTGGTCAGCTGTGGTGGCACACCGTTTGGGGGGCCCAGAGACATTGTGAGCAGATATTGTTACTGTATAATCAGGTCGAGTGTACTTACGTATGAGTTGATTCTTCTTGTTGACCGTTTATGTTTGGGGCTTCTTGTGAAATTTGGAGTGGACGTAGGGAAGATCTACAAAACATGAACAGTGACTCTATAGGTTGTCTCATGGGAGTCCGGGCTTTGCGATGCTCGCTGTTTTTCTTTTCACGCCATTGGGCAAGTCCCACCCCGGACCCTCAAGGACTCACCTGGCGGGACCTTGGAGGAGGGACCCCTAGAAACCTGGTGGGCAGGTGCTTTAGAGTTATTTATCCTATCTACTTATCTTACCCTACCACTAGGACC